AAAAAAAAAATTTAATTATCTTTAAAATTATATTTTACCACATGGTACCCTGGCTTGAATCTTTATTTTATCCCTTCATCTTAGTGTTAATAAACTATCTTTTAGATGAAGCATGCTACCTCTAGGACCATTCTAAGAAAATCACATTTCATATATTTTATGCTAAATTGAAAAAATCTTTGGGACCTAAAATAAGGCAGGTTTAAAAGCCTTAAAGCTATTCTAAATACTACTTAATTTTTGGAACTGTATGTGTCATTCAGTGAACTTTACTTAACTCTGAAATATTATTTAGATTTATTTCAGTCAATCCAGAAACCAAGAAAAATTTAGCCAACTGTTGGCAGATGAGTTTAATATCAAATTGTATGTTCTTTTGACTGTGGATTATGTATTTACTTAAAAGCACAAACAATAGCAAAATACAATCTGAAATTTCCAGTTATAAATTACCTCTTATATAGACAGTTTCTTTTGTTAAAGGGACATGGGGCATGAATTATTTAAATCATACATAATTTGTGATCAGAACATTCAGAGCAAGACTATTCATGGGACTCTTCTATTGATTGAAAAAGAAAGAAATGGTGAGGTGGTTGATCAAAGACTTTTAAATATGCTTTCTGATTTGGAAGTGAGTAATTTTGTAACTTTTATTAAATAGAAGTGAATTTTCAACCTAATAATCTAAAGCTAGATTTTAACTGAGTTTCTTTGATTGCATCTTAGATTTACATAGACTCTTTTGAGAATAAATTGCCCGAGGAAACAAGAAAGGTCTTAGCAACAGAGGGAAGGAACTTCGTGCAAAACAAGAGGTATTTGGAATGAACATAACGATTAGCAGTTCGGTGATTCACAGAGCCTATTATTCAATGCCCTGTATAGACATGGCCTGATAGTAAGGTCTAATAATTGTGGCTTGATGTGTTTATGTGTAATAAGCTGTACCTGTTTGCATTTTATGTACGTGTGGACCTGCTTTTCGGGGTGACATTTAGAAAGCTTCTCTTATATTCTTGGTAACTTTTGCTAAAGGTTTGTTGATTTTCTTAATCTTTTCAAAGGAACAAATTTTGGCCAGTTAATGTTTTTCCGTTTGTTTTCTCATTTCACTTTGCCTTGAATTCCATTCTAAATGTTGCTTTCATCACTTGGTTCAGATTCATATTGATCTCTTCACTGTTTCTTCAGGAGCAGGGTTGGCTTTCCGTTTTTAGACCTCTCTTTTTAAAACTATATGCACAACGATCAACTTTCCTTTAAAGAGCATGCTACCTGCATTCCTTAATTTTTGGTATGTTGTATGTTCATTTTTCACTTACGTTAAAGTATGTTTGAGTTTCCCTTGTGACTTTTTCTTTAACACAGTTACTTAGAATTGTGTTGTTTCATTTCCACACATTTGTGAATTTCCCTTATTTCCTGCTTTCCATTTTAACACCATTGAAATCAGAGAAAATGAATCAGAAAAATCATACACGTTGTACAATTTCAGTACTTTAAAATTTGCTGACTAACAAGTCTGATACAGTCTACCCTGTGAAATGTTCCATGTGTGCTTGAGAAGTATGTGTATTCTGCTGGTGGTGGTGGAATGTTCTTTTGATCTTCTTAAATTTAGCATTGTTCGAGTGTTTTGTTTATTTATTTTTGTCTGGGTGTTCTATTTCTTTTATATCTTGCATATGCCCTCCTATGTATCATACATATGTATGTTCCATGTGTCCTATATATCATATGTCATACACACACATATATATGTATACACACACACACACACACACACACACACACATTTATAGGGTATTAAAGTCAATAGCTGTGATTGTTGAATTACCAGTTTCTCCCTTCTTTCTTCAGAACTATAATCGGCTATTTTACAGTTCTGTGGTAATTATATTAAAAAGTCAACCAGGGATTTCACTTCCTTTGCATTTTTTTATTTTTTAAATTTGTCATCAGTTATACAGAATGACATGAGCAAAACTGGTTAGTAGATTCGCCCGATTGTCAAGTCCCCACCACATACCCCATTACAGTCAATGTGCATCATTGTAGTAAGATGCTGTAGAGTCACTATTTGTCTTCTCTGTGCTTTGCTGCCTTCTCTGTGCCCTCCTTGTGTTATGTGTGCTAATTGTAGTACCTCTTGTTCCTGTACTCCCTCCCTTCCCAAGCACCCTTCCAGTCCCATCTCCTTTGATAACTGTTAGACCATTATGGGGTTCTGTGAGCCTGCTGCTGTTTTGTTCCTGCAGTTTTGGGTTTTTGTTCTTATGCTCCACAGATGAGTGAAATTATTTGGTACTTTTCTTCCTCCACCTGCCTTATTTCGCTAAACATAATATCCTCTAGTTCCATGCATGCTCTTCAAAATGGTAGGACCTGTTTTCTTCTTATGTCTGAATGATACTCCATTGTGTGTACACACACATATATATATATATATGTGTACACCCAATGGAGTATCATATATATATATATATATATGTAACATCTTATTTAACCATTCAACTACTGATGGACACTTAGGTGGCTTCCATTTCTTCGCTATTGTATATAGATAGTGCTGCGATAAACGGAGGGGTGGATATGCCTTTTTGAAACTAGGATCCTGCGTTATGAGGGTAAATTGCCAGGAATGAAATTTCTGGCAAAATCGTATTGCTATTTTTAGTTTTTTGAGGAACCTCCATAATGCTCTCAACCATGGTTGAAGTGGTTTATCACTAACAGCAGTACAGGAGGCTTCCCCTTTTTCTGCATCCTCACCACCACTTGTTCCTAATCTTTACAATGCTGCTCATCCTACCTGGTGTGAGGTGATGCCTCACTGCGGTTTTAATTTGCATTTCATGATATTTACAGTGTGGAGCATCTTTCCATGTGCCTGCTGGCCATGTGCATTTCTTCTTTGGAAAAGTGTCTGTTCATATTCTCTGCCCATGTTTTAATCGGGTTATTTTCTTTTTAGATGTTGAGGCTCATGAGTTCCTATATATTTTTGTATTTTAACTCCTTGTCTATATGTCTTTTACAAATATATTCTCCCATACTCTAAGATGCATTTTTGTTGTGCTGATGGTGTCCTTTGTTCTACAGAAGTTTTCAAGCATTATGTAGTTCCATTTCTTTTTTATTTTGTTTCCCTTGTCTGAGGTGATGCATTCAGGAAAAAGTTGCTCATGTTTATATTCAAAATATTTTTGCTTTTATTTTATTCTAAGAGTTTTATGGTTTCATGACTTACCTTCAGATCTTTGATCCATTGTGAGCTTCCCTTTGTGTATGGTCTTGAACAATAATCTAGTTTCATTCTCTTCCATGTAGCTGTCCAGTTTTGCCAACACGAGTTGGTGAAGGGGCCATCATCTCCCCATTGTATATCCATGGCTACTGTATCATATATTAATTGACCACACATGCATACATTTTTATATGTATCTGAGCTCTCTAGTCTGTTCACTGGTCTCTGGTCTGTTCCTGTGCCAGTCCACAGAGATTATTATTATTGGGCGGTTATTGACATATAGTCTTATCTTTTTTAAAAACATACAACACAATGAATTGCACATTAGTTCCCCATGTTGTTAAGTCCTCACCCCTAAGGTGCAGTTATGGTCTGTCACCATAGGAAGATGTTACAGAATCACTGACTATATTCTCCCTGCTGTTCTACCATCCCTGTGACTAATTTATATTACAATTGGGATTTTTCAGCCATTTTCTCCTGCTCACTCTCCACCTTTAACACCCCCACAACCCTTTCATTTTGTTTTAGTTTGTTTTTATATTCCAAAATAAGTGAAGTCATACTGTATTTGTCTTTCTCAACCCGGCTTATTTCACTTCTCATAATACCCTTGTTGCAAAAGGCAGGATTTCTGTCTCTCTGTCTCTGTCTCTGTCTCTGTCTCTGTCTCTGTCTCTGTCTCTCTCTCTCTCTCTCTCTCTCTCTCTCGGCTTAATAATATTCCATCATGTATATGTACCACATCTTGTACATCTATTCATCTATGGTTCCTTCCATAGATGGTTATTTTAAGTAATGCAGTGATAAACAAAGGGTTGCACATGTGTTTTTGAATCAGGGGTATACTTTTGTTTGGGTAAATTTCTAGGAGTGGATTTAATGGGCCCTATGGAATTCTTGTTAGATTTTTGAGGAACCTCCATACTGCTTTCCACTCTGGCTCCACCAACTGACGTTCCCACCAACAGTCTGTGAGGGTTCCCGATTCTCCACATCCTCCTCAACACTTGCCATTTCTTCTCTTAGACATTGGCCATACCGACTGCTGTAACGTAATGTCTCATTGTGCTTTTAATTTGCATGTGCCTGATGGCAGAGATGTGGAACATTTTTCTTGTACCGATTTGTCGTCTATATGACTGCTTGGGAAAAACGTCTGTTCCTGTTCTCTTGTTTAAGGTGGGTTATTAGTTTTTCTGGTGTTGAATCATAGGAGTTATTTATGTATTTTGGGTACTGACCCTGTTTCAGATAAGTCATTCATGAACATATTTTGCAATGCTGTAAGTTTCCTTTTTCTACTGATGGTGCCTTTTGCTATACAGAAACTTTTGAGTTTGATATTGTCCCACTGTTCATTTTTTATTTTGTTTTCCATGGCTTAGAGATGTGTCCAGGAAAACAATGCTCATGCTTCTTTTCAAGAGAATTTTCCCTATGCTTTTTTCTAAGGGTTTTATGGTTTCATTTCTTACATTTAGGTCTTTGATCCATTTTGAGCTTACATTCATCTAAGAAGTCAGTAATCCACTTTCATTCTCTTGCATGTTGCTTCCCACATTTCTGAACATCAGCTCCAGAAGAGGCTGTCTTTTCCCATTGTATATTTGTGGCTCCTTATCATATATTAATTGACACAAGTATGCATGAGATTGCATGTGGGCTCTCTATTCTATTCCATTGATCTGTAGTTGTCTTGTGTGCAAGTAGTACATTGTTTTGATTATTGTAGGTTTGCAGTAGATCTTGAAGTTAGGGAGCATAATCCCAAAGCTTTGTTCTTTTTACTCAGGTTTGGTTTTGCTATGTGGGTTATTTTGTGTTTCCTTATGAGTTTTAGGATTATTTCATCTAATTTATTGAAGAATGCCATTGGTATTTTCATAGGGACTGCACTGAATCAGAAAATTGCTTTGAGCAGGTTGGCCATTTTGACAATATTAATTCTTCTATTTAGGAGCATAGGATAGATTTCATTTACTTGTGTTTTTTTAAAATTACTCTCATGAGTGCTTAACAGTTTTGGCCCTGAGGTTGTCTTTTACCTCCTTGGTGCTTTTTTCTTTTTTCCTTTTATTTTTTTGGAAGCCATTCTAAATAGAATTCTTTTCCTGATTCACTTTCTCTTAATTACTTGACAATATAAAGGATTCCTGTGTATTAATTTTGAATCCTGCCACCTTGCTGAATCCAGTTATTAGTTCTAATAGGTTTTTAGCAGTCTTTAAGTTCACACACACACACACACACACACACACACACACACACACACACATTACCATGAAATTTGAACATACCGACAGCTTGATTTCCTCCTAACCAACTTGGATGCTTTTATCTCTTAGTTGTGTGTGACTGCCATGACTGGGATCCCCAGTACTATGTAGAATAGTGAGAAATTTGTGAGAGTGGACATCCTTCACGTTCCATATCTTGGAAATTTTCCAGCTTTTTGCTATTTAATATGATAGTAACTGTAGCCTTCATAATATATAGCCTTCATAATATATAGCCTATATATAGCCTTCATATATATAGCCTTCATAATGGTGAGGTGTGTCCTCTGTGCCCACTTTGTTGAATTTTTATCCAAGAATGGATATTGCATTTTGTCAAGTGCTTTTCCGCATCTGTTGAGTCAATCATGTGGTTTTTATCTTTTTTGTTAATGTGTTGATTGACGTTGATGTACAGATATTGTACCATCCTTGTAATTCTGAAGTAATCTCACTCGGTTGGATGGATGATCCTTTTACTGTATTTTTAAATCCGTTTCGCCAATGTTTTGTTGAGGATTTTGCATCTACATTCATCAGCGATATTGGTCTACATGTTTCTTTCTTGTAGTGTGTCTGGTTTTGGTGTTAAAGAGTGATGCTGTTCCCATAGAAAGACTTTGGAAGTGTTCGCTACTACTCTCCTTTTTGGAATTCTTTAAGAAGTATGTGGCCTTAGCTCTCTTTGAAATGTTTGGTAACCAGCAGCTGTGAAGCCATCTGGCCCTGGCTTTCTCAACCTGGCCCTTTGTTTCTTGTGCGTTTTTTGATTACCATTGTGTTTCATTACTGTTAAACAGTCCGTTGAGATTTTGTTTCCTCGTGGGTTCACATGGGATGGGAGTGTTATTCTAGGAATTTTCCCATTTCTTCTAGATTCTTCAATTTGTTGGCATGTATTTTATAACAGATTTCTCTAATCTTTGCATTTCTGTAATGTCTATTGTGACTATTTCTTTTTCTGTTTTTGTTTATTTATGTACTCTCTTTTTTTTCTGGAGAAATCTGGCTAAGGATTGGTCTCTTTTCTTTTCTCAACCAGCTCTTTGATTCTTTTTCTGTTGCTTCATTGTGTATATTTTTTCTTTTGCTCTGATCTTTATTATGTCCGTCTTTCTACTAACTTTGGTTGTCAGCTGTTCTTCTTTTCCTAGTTTCTTTTATGCTCAGTTTAGACTATTTATGTGGGATTGTTCTTCTTTCTTGAGGGAAGCCTGTATTGCTGTGTGCTTTCCGCTTAGAACTGCCTCAGCAGATCCCACAGGTTTGGAGCTGTTGAGTTGTTTTCATTTGTCTCCATGTATTGCTTGATCTATGTTTTAATTCAGTCACTGATCCTTGATCACATAGAAGTACATTTTTTAGCCTCTGTGTTTCTAGGCATTTTTGCTTTCTATGTGTAATTTATTTCTAGTTTCATAGTCTTGTGGTCTGGAAGCTGCTTCATACACGTTCTAACTTTTTGAATTTATTGAGGCTTTTTGTGGCCTACTATGTGATCCGTCCTGGAGGACATTCCATATTCCCTTCTGAAAAATTGCGTATACTGCAGCTATTGCGTGGAATGTTCTGTAGATATGTGTTTAGTCCATCTTATCAGATGTATGGTTCAGAGACTGTTTCCTGTTTATTTTCTGTCTGGTGGATCTATTAATGTAAGTGCTGTGTTAAAGTGTGTAAGTTGCAGTCTATTTCCCCCTTTAATTCTGTTAGTGTTTATTTGTCTTATACATTTAGGTGCTAATGTGTTGGGTGCATGGGTTTTATAATTGTTATACCCTCCTGTTGGACTGACCCCATGGTCATTATGTAATATCCAACTGTGTTTTGAAATCAATTTTCTCTGATATAAGTACTCCTAGTCCTCCTTTTTCTCCCTCTTTTTTACACGGTGGAATGCCTTTTTTTCATCCCTTCACTTTCAGTCTGTGTATATCTTTGGCGCTGAGTGAGTCTCCTGTAGGCTTCATATAGATGTGTCTTAGTACTTTATCCTTCTACCACACTACGTCTTTTCATTGGAGCATTCAGTCCATTTACATTTAAGGGAAATTTTGATACATATGCACTAACTGCCATTTTACTAATTGTTTTCTCGGTGTTTTTGTACCTGCTGTCTGTTCCTTTCTTTGTATCTTACACTCTTCTCTTGTTATCTGATGGATTTCTTTACTGTTGTGATTGGAATTCACAATTTTAGTTTTTTGTACCTGTTATAAGCTTTAGGTTTGTGTTTATTGTAAGATTCATAGTTTCCTAATTATACAGGAATCCATATTAAGGTGGTAATTGCTATTTTTAAAGCACAGTATAAAAATACCTTTTTTATTCTTCCTCCTCATCCACACATAATGTATTAGATCATCTAATATGCATTTTTGTGTATCCCTTGATTGATTTTGTGTATAATTGGTCTTACTACTTTTTTTAAAATTTCATCATTTATTGGTAAGTACTTGGTCTACTGCCTTTATGGCCACATTTATTTTCACTGGTGAAAGCTAGGACTATGAACATTTCCATATGCAGAAGTACTTCAACATTTCCTGTAATGCCACCTTAGTGCTGGTGAATTCCATCAAACTTTGTATCTCTGGGAAATGTTTACACTCCCCTTCAAATCTGAATGATAATCTTGCTGGATAGAGGGTCCTTGACTGAAGATACTTCTGTTTTCATACACGAGATATTTCATGCCACTCCCTCTGGCCTTAGAGATTTCTGCTCATTCTGTTGATAGCCTGACTGGGTTTCCCTTATAAGTAATCTTTTTTTTTTCTCTCTAGCTGCTTTCAATATTCACTCCTTATTCTTGAACTTTTTCAGTTTAATTATTGTATGTCTTAGTGTTGTCTTTCTGAGTTCCTTATTATATGCACATTGTTTTGTTTTGATTGTTCACACAGTTCTCTAATTATTCTTTCACTTGTAGAATTTGTTTTTCTCTTTGTTCCTCAGCTTTGTTTTTCCCTGTTCTTTCATTTCCATGTCATTGAATATTTCCTCTATTTGGAAGCAGGCTCTATATTCCTTCCCTCTGTAGGTTTTTAATTTCAGTTACTGTTTTTTTTTTTCAGCTCTGAGTAGTCCTTTTTCAGCTCTTGTGTCTGCCTGCTGTGCCTCATGGTCTAGAGAGTAATGGCTTTATGAGGGTGTCCTTTGGTGCCCGGAATCTCAAGATATTTTACACCCCAGTACTTGGTTCTTTTTTGCATGGAATCCTCCATTGCCATTGGTGGGCTATTGGTGGGGCCTCCTTTCTTTTTCTTTCTTTCTTTCTCTTTCTTTCTTTCTTTCTTTCTTTCTTTCTTTCTTTCTTTCTTTCTTTCTTTCTTTCTTTCTTT